CCGAAAGATTGAAATAACTGTTCGAGATTGAAATTTCACCTATTTAAATTTTTAAACAATTTATGAAATTATCATATTAGGGTTCGTTTGATTGCAAAGATGAAATTGAACTGAATTAAAAACGAATTTTAGAGAATTAAATTGTTTAAAAATTGTTTTTCTGAAAATTGTAAATTACTGTGTTTGATTGGTATAATTTTCTATGCGGAAAATTTTAAAATAAAAGTGTTTTTTGGTGTTGTTTGACTTTGTTTTACATGAAAATTGTCAATTAAAGGGATAGATTTGATTGGTATTGGGAATGAAATTTGTTTCTATTACCAACAAAAAAATAAAAAAATCAAGAAAATCATCTATCTTTTGGTGTTCGTTTGATTTTGTTTTACATGGAAATTGTTAATTAAAATGAAATATTTTTGTACAATATTTCTTAGAATTTGTTTAACAGGGAACTAGAAAACCAAGAAAATTTCAAGCCAAGAAGATCAAGAAACCAAATTCCATTAAATTCAAAACGTATTAAACAAACAAAATTGGAAGAAAGTGGAATTAGAATTCCGTTTTCCATGGAATTTGAACAATCAAAGATAGCCTTAGTGTTGATAGATCTCTTCTTTAGAACTTATGTTGTAGAAGCGGACATTATGCTATTGGCCTTTTATTTGCATCTTTTAGATTGAAATGGTTTTTTTTTTTTGGGATGAACTCGCAGACCCGAATTCCCTCGTAGAGTCGCGTTTTTTATAACACTTCACTTTCCCAGTGGAACCAAAATAAATGAATAAATAAATAAAAATTGGCTTACTTCTAGCCACAGCGCGAAGCTTATGAACCAATCCTAATTTTACTTTCCATGGATGGAAATGAGTCATTTAATTCGAATACTTTTATTTACATAAAAATTATTTATCCCTTGTTTGTTTTCAGTTGTTTAAAGAAAATAATGTATTTTTGGACCCTTTTTTGCCAGCACGTGGGACCCATTGTGAGAGAAGAAGTTAACAATCACTGTTGATAGTGGAACAATGGTCTGAAAATGGATTAAAATTGGGTAGAAAAATTGGAAGCAAACAGGAGCTTAACCTTGTTGAATCTATTTTAAAACTTTCAAATCATAACTAACTTTGATTAACTATTTGAGATTGAAACTAAAGTTGTTATGCACCCAATTTTAACGTTAATTGATGTAGCATTTCTTTACTCTTTTTTCTTTTGACGTAACACTCAATTATTTATGGAGAAAAACTTAGAACGGTGTGATTGTCAAATGACGAGGCGGTCTCACCTTATTGGATGAGGGTGGGCCACCCGGTAAAGTGATAGCTCCTCAATCAATGGTGCAACCCTCTCACCAAAATTTTTCTCTTATTCATGAGATGATTAGTTAGCCTGATAGGTGTAAGGAATCAACAAAAGCCATAATTAACTCAAACAACTTACATATTGCTTTTAAATGATGTCATAAGCCTCCCCACCCTTTTTTGTTTGTGTTTTCTCATTTTTACGTCTTAAATAAGTCAAGTTATACAAATGTAGTTTCGGTTTGGCTTTCATTTTTTAAAATTTATTTTTAACCTTACATGTTCAATAAAATAATTTGTATGGACTCATAATTTATTTACTTTTTAACTATACATTCTTAAAAAAAAAATTAAAAAAAAAATCACTCTTCACAAAATTTATTCTCAAAAAATCTTTGTCAAACAGGAACTTAATATAATGCACCTTCACAAGTAAACATGTGATTGAAAAGTAAAAAATTATGCATAGAGCACATCCATATCTTGCTTAGAGCAACAAGTTTTAAATTTTAATATTGGAGTTGTTAAATTTGCCCCCGTCATGAATTAGTTGCTTAGTAATACCATGTTATGTGGGAGACAATCTGACCATTTATTTGAATGACACTTATTTAAATTAATAGTCAAATTTTTTACACATTACAAAATGTCAATAAAAATGTATAAATAGCTTAATTGAGACCCATTTTGTGTTCACATGAAGATGGACCAAAGCAATATTCCTGTTTTGTTTATTTATTTTTCCTTCCTTCTTGTTTTGAAGTTGGAATCTACAAGCTCTAGCATTTGAATGATAAGAGTAAAGTTGGTTTACTTATTTAGCCCCTGTTTGGACTACATCAATTCATTTTCTCTCTTATTTTCAACTGAACATTCTCCAATAAAACAATATTGCACCTAATTTCAAAATTATTCCTTTTTTTTTTTTATCATACATTTTTCAAAAATCACCATTACTAATACATTTTCCTTAGAAACTACATTATAATGGAGCTCAAATAGGGTTTAGCCCCTTGTTTCTCTACCATTATTCAATGAAAATCAGTTTAGGATAGTAAATTTTTGGAGAATATATTATTTGCGTTTACGTTCAAAATATTTTATTATTAAAATATTTGATTGAAAATGAATTTAAAATAAAATGATTTTTAAAATAAAAAGGGCATTAGTGTTTGTCTGGAGCCGCTTTTCAAGGAAAAAAATTGCTTTTTGAACAGTTGTAGACCAAAATTAGCTATCTTTGTTGACTTTGGCTTTCACATTGGGTTCCACTTAACATTTTAACGGTCAAAAAAGCGCTCAGAATTTTGGGGAAAAAGCTCCGTCAAACAAGTGCTTAGCTGCAACCTACTTAAAATAAAAACATTTCATATTTTAATTTTGAGCTGCTGAGCTAACTTAGTACAATTAGTCATACTAGTCTCATCATTGAAGACTAATGTGCAATCAGTGAAATATTTAAGATAAACTCGTTTATATTAAGCTCCTGTTTGATTCAGTTAAAAATCGATCAAATATATAATTGAAAAATTGATAAAAAGATATACATGTTGGCAAACGATGAGTGGTGCGCTGAAAGTGGCTTCTAAAGCCAATTATCTCACTCCAATATACGATATACGGAGACCCGAATCAAAATTTATTATCCCCGCTCTTGCAGCTTGAAAATCATTAAAGGTTCAAATTTCTCTCTCTCTCTCTCTCTCTGCAGGAAATTTAATTGTTTGATAATAAATGTAGCTGGGGTTGGGTGCTATTTGATTATTATATAGCCCAATT